GTCTTTGGCTGTGATCTCTGAAATCATGATAGGTAGTGGCAGCCTAGAGTCTCCGGATTTACTGAATTGATTAAAGCCTTACTGTTGCCAGGACACGTGATGTTTCGTTTATCCACCCAGATGGAATTCTGTTATTCTGATGTGTGTGATTTTTTTCTAGGACTTGCCCTTTTTTCTTCTACATCACTAAAACAGTTTTTTAATCAATACTTGATTGATCGTTTTGTGTAACAGAAACGTGAGAAATAGAGGACGATAGGTTTCTGTGTTTGTTTCAAGCTGCGTGTCTGCTTTATAATATAACAATCCAAAACTGAGACATTTGTCCATTTTCTAATAATTAACAAAGAAATTTAGGATCTGAGTACAGGTTATAAAGTCAATAGATGGAAATATTATTAGGCCTAAATGTTTGTTTTTTGTTGTTCTTGTTTTTTGTCTTTTAACTTTTGCTTAACCTAACTAATATAGGCCTAAACTTTCTTAGTTTGGAAATAGTGAACTCGGATTTTAAGTGCAACATTTAAACTGGCCTAATTAGATTGTTTATTTCTTTACATCCATAAGAAACTTGAAATGTTTCTCTAATTTCTAATATTTTCTGCATTCATCGCTTTATTTGGTTGTTGGAGATCTGTGTTGGCAGTCCTAAACGTCGTCTACACACTAAGACATGAGAACGATAGGGATCTGTGTTAGAGTATTTGTGCTTTACTATCATTATATCATATTTCTGGAGCATTTGTGCTGTACTATCATTATATCATATTCGTAGAGTATTTGTGCTTTATTATCATTATATTATATTCGTAGAGTATTTGTTCTTTACTATCATTATATCATATTCGTAGATTATTTGTGCTTTATTATCATTATATCATATTCGTAGAGTATTTATTCTTTACTATCATTATATCATATGTGTAGAGTATTTGTGCTTTATTATCATTATATCATATTCGTAGAGTATTTGTGCTTTACTATCATTATATCATAGTTGTAGAGTATTTGTGCTTTATTATCATCATATCATATTCGTAGAGTAATTGTGCTTTATTATCATTATGATTTGTGTATTTTATTTCTCCTTTGCTCTCAATACCTCATATTTGATGACCCCCTCTCTCCCGGTGGCTCAGAGGTATATCTGAAGAATCACAACACAAAAAAATCGGGGATCGATCCCTATGGTGGGAACAGTGCAGAAACCGTGTTGTGCAGCTTTGCACTTAGAGAACAAACTAACTAATGGAACATTTCAACTTCATATATTTACATTGGAACATAATGTAACGGACATTCATCTATACTTTAAGCTGGTTTACGTTACTTAACTAACGGCTTTGTAAGTAAGATGACATATTTTGTGAGTTTTTTCTTCCAAACATTAGCTAGCTAGGTAAAGATGTAATTACACACTAAATCTCGGACTTTCCCTTCAAAAATTAAACGCATTTTGGGGGTTTATTTTTAGGAATATAATGGTCGGATGATGAGGAAGAGGAGCGTTTAATATTAAACTGTTTTCTTTGAATGTGCATGCTACAAAAAAAAAATGGGATTACATTTAACCACTTAATATGCTCGTTGGAACGAACCTCTCTCTCTCTCTCTCTCTCTGTGCAATCCAGTTGGAACGAACCTCTTTCTCTCTCTCTGTGCAATCCAGTTGGAACGAACCTCTCTCTCTGTGCAATCTAATAGGAACGAACCCCCCCCCTCTCTGTGCAATCTAACACAAAGTGGGTAATATTTCATTATTTTTGCCCTCCAGTGGCTCATTAGTAAGTCCGAAGGCTTATAATGCTAAAAACGGAGTTTCGATAATATGGTGGGCGAAGCACACATAGCCCATTGTGTAGCTTTGTGCTTAACAGCGGAAAAACAAAAATCATATTTTTATTTCTAAATAAAATTAATTATGTTCACAATATAACTAATGTACGTACTATCTCTGGATACCTTTGGTTAAAGTTGGCAACCCCTAAATAATATAACCTGATATTTCTATGTGTCTTTGGTTAATACTGGTAAACTTTAAATTATGAACTAACCTGTAATAACTGTGGTTAACAGTTTTGAAACGTGATAACCGGTAGATATTTTATAGAAGTAAGACGACCACTAGCATTTAATATCGTTAGTTCTGGTTTATTTTATGGATGTTTCAATGATGAACTTCAAATCACGCTGCAAACTAACATCTACATAATTTTCATATTTGTAGTTTTGCTTAATTTTATGACCACGATTCGTTATTAAAAGTCTTTATGATAACATCACACTTGAAAAACCTATTCAGAGAAGTAATTTTGAGCTCTGTAGTCTCCAAGTGAGAGTAAGTTGTTTGTTTGATATGGATTTCGCGCAAACCTACATGAGAGCTATCTGCGCTAACCATCCCTAAGTCTAGAAGAAAGGCAGCTAGTCATCACCATCCACCGCCAACTCTTGGGCTACTCTTTTACCAACGAATAGTAGGATTGACCGTCACATTATAACGCCCCCACGGCTGAAAGGGCGAGCATGTTTGGTGTGACGGGATTCGAACCCGCGACCTACAGATTGCGAGTCGAGCACCCTACCAACTTGGCCATGGCAACTTTAATTTTTTCTTATAATTTTTTCAAGAACCGTGGACAAAAATTGAATTTTTTTCTTGCCTTTTTTTATGAACTGTGGACAAAAATTTAATTTTTTTTTCTTGCCTTTTTTTACGAACTGTGGACAAAAAACTGAAGAAAAATTACAACTGAGAATAATTCAACCAACAGCATAATTTTTATCCTTTAATAAGTTTTGAAACACTTTCAACTTCTGTACGGAATAACGAGAAGAAGAAAAATTGAGCGGCGTGAGTTATAAGAGTTACAGTTAAATACCACTATTTCGTTTATGTTGCCCATCAGCCATGGCGATTGGTATTGTGGACTAGCTGCTTTCCCACTAGTTTATTAGTTGAAAATTAGAGACGGATAAATCACAAAATTATTTGCGTTATTATAATCGAAACATTTTTTAAATATAAAATATCATTACACAAGGAAGATTACACAGGCCTGCGAATTTAAACCTCATAAAAGTTGCTTTGGTCTTAATAACTGATTTTCCATAATTCACCCACGCAGATTTCGAAAATAATGTTCTCTAGAGTCTTATAGAGAATTATTCTTCATTTGCTTTAGAGTCTTGTGGGAACTATTCTCCGTTTTCTTTAGAATCTAATGGGGAACTACTTTCCGTTTTCTTTAGAATACAATGGGGAACTATTCTCCGTTTTCTTTAGAGTCTAATGGGGAACTACTCTCCGTTTTCTTTAGAATACAATGGGGAACTATTCTCCGTTTTCTTTAGAGTCTAATGGGGAACTATTCTCCGTTTTCTTTAAAATCTAATGGGGAAACTATTCTCCGTTTTCTTTAGAATCTAATGGGGAACTATTCTTCCGTTTTCTTTAGAGTCTAATGGGGAACTACTCTCCGTTTTCTTTAGAGTCTAATGGGGAACTACTTTCCGTTTTCTTTATAGTCTAATGGAGAACTATTCTCCGTTTTTTTTTAGTCTTATGTGGAACTACTCTCCGTTTTCTTTAGAGTCTTTATAGTTTGTACTTAGATCCGACAAAGGATGAAACATAGCAAAGAAGAAAAAGAAAAAAATATATATCAATTATTATTTTAAATCTATTTTTTCTTTCTTAATAGTTCTTATCGTAAATACAGTTTATCGTTCTTATTTCTAAAGACAATTGTTGTGATTTACGCGTTTGTTGAATTTTATTCTTAATTACTGCTTAGAGACTGGTGAATGAATCTGATAAGGATTTTGAAGACAATTGTCGACAAAGCGTTTAAAATTTCTGCTTAGTGATTGGTGAATGAGTGTAATAAAGACAGAGGTTAGGCACAGGGCGAGTTTACGTACGTCATCTTTACTATTGTCGATGTTAGCTGTGGTATTGTTGTAATGAACCATTTCAATGAAATTGTAACTGTTGAATTGGGTCGGGCGTGGCCTAGTGATCAGAGTTTCAGGCTGTGGATCGAGAAGCCGAAGGTTCAAGACGTGATGCCACTGAACACGTTTTGTATTTTCAGTTAAGACGCTTGATAAAATTGACAGCCATCCCAGTTATTCGATACAAATAAACAGATAAATCCTTGTTGTGGCGGGTGTAGCTGGGTGGCTGCATTCTGTTTTTTCACTTGAACAAAATTAGAGACGGTTAAAGCTGAATCCTAGGGGTCTTTAACCTGGCCTCACAACCCAAGTATGCATTCGATGGAAGTTCAAGTTGAAACTTCCGGTTCCAATTCCTCACTGTTGAAATACTTCCTGAAAAAAAAAAGTTGTATTTGCAAATACGGTCTAGACGAGAAGAAAATGTAAATTATTTGATAATTGGTTGATTTGTAATTATTTGTTGATATTACTATCGGACAGCAAATATGCCAGTCGAAAAATATTTGATTTTAAATCAAGTTCTCGATTTTTGTATTGGACAGGGAGTATGACAGTTAACAGCTGGTTGATTGTGATATATATGTCTTGAATTGGTTGATTTGTAATTATTTGTTGATATTACTATCGGACAGCAAATATGCCAGTCGAAAAATATTTGATTTTAAATTAAGTTCTCGATTTTTGTATTGGACAGGGAGTATGACAGTTAACAGCTGGTTGATTGTGATATATACGTCTTGAATGGCTGTGAGTAGTACTCGACTCCTCAGCTACATGCTGACAGACATATGGTAATCTCCTCTATATATTTACCACAAGTAGGCTTTCCGGAGTGAAAAAACGAAAAGGTGACAGTTTTTTTTGTGTGTGTGTAGAACGGAAGTGGCTCTCTACCAGCCGGCTTTATCGTAGTTTTACGAAGTATACAGAAGGAAATAAAACAAGATCGCTAAAGTTATGTACATGTACACTAAAACCGGGCACCGGTGCTTATCTGACCAAGAGTTAGGTTTTTCTAGCTAACTTTGTCTCCGAGATAGCAAAGCTCTCCGCTGTTCAACCATCATAAGACTTGTCAGTCTGACGACCTGTAGTTAAATGAACATCAATATGGAGACTTCAGTCTCAAACTTTTCATCTGAAGAAATCTACTTGGACGTGACCATGAACGAACTGGCCTGTAAAGTTACTGAAGATAAAGTAAGTAACCCTAAATTTCACTAAACTATTTATATTTTATACAGTAGGTTTAAACAATTTATACATAAGCAATCTAGTTTATTCAAGAAGATAGTTAACCACGGACACGAAGTCTTAGAAGGTAACATTTACTAAGACCCATGATACGATCTTAATCTTATACTGCTTGGCTAATATTATAAGGATAAGAATATTCATGTTGATCAATCTTCAGGGTGGTCACACCTATATTGTCCAGAATCATGATGGAATCTTAATCTTAGCTAGTAATATAACGATAAGAATAATTGTATTGGTTAGTTTATTGTGTGGTCACACCTATATTGTCCAGAATCATGATGGAATCTTAATCTTAGCTAGTAATATAACGATAAGAATAATTGTATTGGTTAGTTTATTGTGTGGTCACACCTGTATTGTCCAGAATCATGATGGAATCTTAATCTTAGCTAGTAATATAACGATAAGAATAATTGTATTGGTTAGTTTATTGT